TGAATTGATTTTAATTTATTGACTCAAGAAAGATTATGATCCTTCAGATAACTGAAACCATGTTAAGCAGGTTTTGTTAAGCATTATATATATATATATATATATATATATATATATATATATATATATATATATATATATATATATATATATATATATATATATAACTATATAAGAGCGATAGACAAATGTTTTGCTCAAGTTTCAATTTAAGATATCCTTGACGTCGTTAAGGATCAACGTTCAATTAACTCTTAGTATAGAGAATTCAAAATGATGAAGAGGTCAATCAGTAGAGTTCTTTTCCATAACATTAATTCGCGAGTGTTTTCATCCAAAACTGGACATCTGTTCACAGTTGTCTGAAGTAAACTATATATCATCGAGAGAAGACATAACTAACAATCTAATATTTATGCATGTTTTTAAGCGCCTGGACCTTCTCCATTAATCAGTATCTCAGCATATGTGCTTTAGGAGTGTATGTGCTTGACATTACCATTTAGTCATAAATGTTTTTAGTAAAGTTAGTTAGGAGCTGATAGTAGAATCCATGGTTTGCATTTCGTCTCATTTCGATCTTATCAACATTCATCCCAGTCTAACTCAGTGGGTAACCCAATAAGCATTTAAAATAAAAGTTATTTGGTTCGAATCGCTGTGTTAACGTGCAAGTGCAAGATGTATCTTGACTAATGAATTCTTCTGAAAGAAAGATGATGCCATTATTTAGAACTATCTGTTGACTAGGTTCAAATAGTAAACTGATCATTTTCATAGATTGCCAATCGATTTCATTGTACGTTCGATTTTAGTGTTTACGTTACAATATGATAAGTTACTAATCAATCACTAATCATTTAGACAATATAATAGTTTATACAACATTCTATCTAACCTGGTACTCAATGCAAAATAAATTTATGAATATCGATATATTGTAATGTGTTTACTAGTAACTAGCTTCCTGAGGAAATTCTCGGAGTTCTAGTGAGAAGTGCCCAGTGGAATTCAACCCTGTCGAGTGTACTCAGTAACTACCAAAGACAAATGAGTGAGGTCGCGCAAAATTCCTTGATCAGTCAGAGTTCGACATTAACACCGTTGGATGCCAGCCCAGTAGTCCAAATATTAGACATTCGTGCACAAGACCGAAGGTCTTGGGTTCAAACCCTATGAGATGCGGGAGTCGTGGATGCACACTGCTGATGAGTCCTATACCAGGATGGAACGGCTTTCCAGTGCTTCCAGGTTTGTAATGGTGGTCTAACAATGATTGATTGATGATTTCAAATGTGTAAAATTAAACTTTTATTTAAAATGAACGAAAACATTACAGTGAAGAAAACTTTCCAATATGAAACAAAACTGGTAGTCAAGTACAATGACGTAAAAAAAAACACTGTAAGAGATTATAATAAAAGCAACATAGTATTACATCATTTCGTGAAGTGACCATTTCAAAAGTATTGAAAAAAAAATCATTTACATGCATCTAAATGTCAAAGATAATAGTCTATTTTTTTCTTCATAAAACAAATAATAATTATCAGTTAAGATATATAAAACTTAAAAAGAGCTTGATTAAACACAATGCTTTGATAATTTTTGACCATTTTACAAATATGATGCATGAACGAGTTGTTAAAACATTAAACAAATACAAAATAAATAAACTTTGGTTTGATTTATTATTTATTGAATAATGAATATATTGTGTACAATTAAAAATAAAATATGAATAATTATCATTGTCATCATCATCATCATGATCACGAAATCATTGACAATAACCAAAAACTGAAAGAATAATAATAATAATAATTACAATAGTAAAACAACAACATGCAAAATCAAAACGTTACACAAATGAAATAGGTTATAATCTATTAGGTGAATACGGCTGAGCAAAAGGAATGTTAGGCCATCTGTTCAGGTGGTCTCTCTGTACATATATATATATATATATATATATATATATATTTATATATCACTAGGCCAAACAATATATATGATGGTTTCGAAATACCGTTTTGATAAGTAATAGGGGTGAATTGTTAAAGACAATAGTTTAATACATCGAAGCTATTTTAACCTATTATAAGCTCAATTTCGATTTATTAAACAATCTATTTTATTATTACAATGAGGCCATAAACCGATCTTTTAGCCAATCATTCAAAACCTAAAAACATTAGACGACTGTTTCATCCTAGAGTAATGAACAAAAACTTCAAGATCGGATGGAATAGTAGAATAATTTGAGAAGATACAGTTTACTAGCAACATGTGTATACCTTATCTTCAAATGTCTATCTGCAAAACAAGGAAATTATTGACTGCCTTCTTCTATAAGTCTTCTGGTCTTGTAGAACACTTTGATCACGCCATATATTTAGGTTCGATATTCTTCTTCCCGATAGTCACTTCTGGCCGACATTCAACTTCATTTTATTTTTGGCAAAGTGACTGTTATCGAAATATGTATTCAAAAAGACACTGTTGTTACCCTTGCTTTGCTTTGATGATGTTACAACTGAAAAAAAATTGACTTGCTTTCTTGACTTCCTTAGTTTTATCTAAACATCATTCATAATTTCTTTTATCTCATAATCGGAGCCTTTTGTCGTTATTCATACGTAACAATCCCTTCCCCATTATTATTGAGTAACTTTGAATACCATTCGTTCTCTCTAGAATGTTCGCATCATTTATTGAACATCTTTTAAAATCTTTTCACATTTCTTATCATTTCCTAATCCTTATAGATGACAAGCTTTCTCATGTAAAGTATGTACACTGATTTCAATATTATAACGTTTAGGTTGTAAGTAACTGATGAGCAATCACAAAATAAATTGAATTCATCTAATTCTACTACGTTTGTTGTTCCAGCTCTGTTTACTTTTTTAATTAATTGGTTGTTATCAAATCAATAAATTGTCCATTAAATGAAACATGACAGCTGTAGTGTATAATGGATGAAGCTTTTGAAGCTAATGATATCTGAAAAAGTAAGGGAAAAAATGATTTAGAAACAATATTTAGACAATTTACATGCTGAACTTGTATTTTCACTTGATGTTATTAGTGAAAACATTTCATTTAGATTTGATGTTAGAAGATGATGAATACGCGGCATTTAAAGTTATTTAACGGAGTAGTTCAACAACAAACAAATAATATCAAACATTTCTTAAGAATCTAAACGCTACATAAATTTTCAGCAATATTGTTCCAGCTGAATTGTAATAAGAAGACTATACAGTTTAGTTAGATGAACTGGTGTGAATTTCTATGAATACTCATCAATATTTAGAAAAAAAGTTCGACAGAAATCGGATGTCAAGTATATCGAATCCATTATCTGTGAAAATTAGATTTGAACTAGTTTTCAATTTGATTAGTGTCAATTAGGATGAAATCTTTCTATCATCTAAATTAAAAGAGGCGAATTTCCGCAGAATACCATGAATTCGTTGTTTTCTTCGCATCAAAAATTGTAAGCGAGTTTTAAAGAAAATATTTTCATAAAGATTGAATCCGAATCTGAACTGGTAGTTCTAGAATATTAGTAAAGAAAACCGACACCTTAGAGCACAATTTACTGAATTGTAGTCTGAACTAATTATTTCTTTAACAAACATAAATAATTTCTATTCATTTCATTTATCAAAAAAGCAGTTTTACGTTGAATACTGACACTTTTTTATTCAATAACTTTGTGTTCCTAATCATTTACTATAATCCGGTGATTATTCTTTTATAGACGGTGGCATTGCGACACTTCAAATCAACTCATACAAACAGTCTATTTATCAACCGAAAATCAACCAAATACTTTGTGAGATAATGGTTTGAGACCTTGGACCTAGATTTTGTGCTATTTGACCCTCTTCAGCAATGTGTATCGTGTAATCCTAAAAAGGAACTAATGCTCCTTGGTGGATTCTATTCAGTGCCACTTAGCTTCATAGTCAAAAAAGAGAGACTTTACACCACTGAGCTATTCTGCCTAAGATCAATGGAATTCCACCCGACCCACATGGCACTAGTCACTATCTACTGATTGATCGATTTGAAAAAGACCATGCACTTTAAATTCTTGTTTAATTTAAATTTGTGAAAATACACTAATTGCCTTGAATATTCTTTTTATTATTACACTGGATTTGAATTAGTTTGTCAGTAATTTCAATTGATCTGATTTTTTGATACTTTCTTGAAATATGCTAAGATTTGTGTCATATAAAATCACATGTAATTATAAATACTAATCTCATTTTTTACTAATCATCAGTTCAATTTGATTTGTAATGATTATCGTTTGTAATAATGAACCAATAAAAAATTATGTTCAATATTGAAAGACTCATCCTAGATTTCATAAAATATCATATTGAATAATAATAATAATAATAATAATAAATTCTGTATACATACTACTAAATGAAATCTGTTAAAATTGATAATACACTATGAAATAATTTTCCTCACGTAGTGATTTCAAATTACATGTGAATTCTTCCACCACACTTCAAACATGCTAATGATTAATTCCAATGTTTTCCCTATACGTGTATGTATGCATCAATGTATATTTATGCATATATATATTCATTAGTACGTCAATATAGTGTTTGTATGCACGTATGTTGTATATGTTTGCCTAATAGAGTATGCTTTAGTTGACTCACCTGTCTTTCTCCCATTGCTTTCACGACCTATGAGATTTTTTCTACCAGTTTTATGTGACTTTTCCCAAAATCATCATCATCATCATCGTCATGATTATCATAACAGGTAATAATGATTTTGTTTTCTCTACATGAGAACTTGATTTGAGAATATTTGAGATTGTTTAGTTGAATTTTCTTCTAATCCATGATTTGGCGACAACAACAACAACAGCATGATTAAATGGCAACATTTAAAGAAAATGTGATCAAGTTTACTCATCAGTATTACATCATAACTGATTAAATTCACTGGAAAAAAAAATGATTTATTCAATCTTGTATATAATAAATTGTTTACAAGCCTTATGTACATGTTGTGAATTGAATGTATCACCTTTAGTGAACTTTTGGATTGAAGAAAATATTGAAAAAGGCACTTTTATTGGCAGATTATCCGTGTCATTATCATCATCATCGTCATCATCATCATTGACGCCAACAGAAACAATGACAGCCGATGCATCAGCCTCATTGACTGCTTTATCTTCACAAGACTCAAAGTATACATCTTCATATACTTGTGTCTATACAAGTCTAGCTCAACAGCCTATTTCAAATTATTTTCACATTGATTCCAATGATGGTTCAATATATGCACTGAGAAAAATCGATCGTGAAACATTGTGTGATGAACATAATTTATTGGAACGTGTTAAAAAACATACTGTACACAAGATACTGAACAATAATACTGTTAAACCTGATGCGAATCAATCGAAATCGGGAACTTTCAAACAAACAATGAGTAGAACAAATAATTCAAGATATTATAGAAATGTTAATCATGAATTAGATATGATCAATCAACCAGTCACAACAAGTAGTGTATGTCAAGTTAAATTTCAAGTATTAATTAGTGATACTACAGGATTAAAATCAAAAAGTAGCATATTACAAGATGTACACATATCAATATCTGATATAAATGATAATCAACCAAAATTTGATGTACAAAATTTCTCATTGAAAATACCAGAAACTTCTCCAATCGATGCAGAGTTTCGTTTACCACAGGCAATTGATTTCGACACTGGTGTAAATGGAATATCAGGATATCAATTAGTTCCATGTATTCATAGAGAGCAAAATGAAAAATATGCATTATATCCTTATTCTTGTCATAAGCCTATGACAAATTTAAAACAAACATATTCAAATATCAATGTATTTATGAATGAACATGACAGAAAATTATCTACTGAATATAATGAAGATACTTTACAAAAACATTATGCTGGTGATTATTTCATGCTAAAAATGTATTCACGATCTAATGGAAAACTACAACCAATTTTAAAACAAATTCAACGTCTAGATAGAGAACAATTTGAATGGCTTTATTTATGTTTAATCGCTGTAGATGGTGGAGGTCAACAAGGGGCTACATGTGGTTACATTGAAATTATTGATGCCAATGACAATGTACCCCAATGGATTGGTTTACCGTATAAAGTATCAATCAGTGAATGTGAACAAGACTATCAACAAGCATACATCGATAATAGTAATAACAATAATAATAATAACTATAATATGTTTCGGTCACAACTACCATCACTTCGATATTTGTATACGTTAAAAGCAGTAGATATTGACAGTGGCATATACGGACAAATAAGTTATCGATTAGCTCAAGAGAATACTTTTGAATCGGCGAAAACTCATCATCAACCTAAGGTAATAATTAAAGAGAACAAATTATATCTACTTTCTAAACTAGACTATGAACAATTGACTAGATTTGTTGTTTACGTTGAAGCTGTCGATGGTGGTGGATTAGTGAATTTCACTGAAGTTGAAGTCACAGTTGAAGATTGCAATGATCATGCACCTACAATCATGTTAATTCCAGTAAAGTCATCATTATCACATAGTGTCGGTAATAATTACAGTTCTTCTAGTCTAAGTAGCAATGCTAAGAATCTATTGACATCATCTTCAGCTCATACAACAGTATCAGCATTACCTGTTTCCAATAATTTGGATTTATTGTGGATTGAGGAAGAGAATTACGATCAAATTAAGCTGACGACAGTTATGTCCTTTGATCGTGATAAAAAAGACAATGGTCGTGTAACATGTTATCTAGATAAATCTGGACAATTTGTCAATAGTATCGATTACAGTCAATTATTTGAATTAATCCCGAATCAACCTTCCATTGGTGCCCTTAGTACATCTGCTAATAAGGCTTTAACTAATGATTTATATTCTAATATGACATTGTCAGATAAGCCATCAATATTTAGTTTATATAAAAAAAGTGGAGTTAAAATTGATCGAGAAGAAACTGCAAAATTATTAATTGATATTGTTTGTTCCGATAATGGAGAAGTCAATCCACAAATAACTAGACGAACTTTACATATTCTTGTTAAAGATATTAATGATAACAAACCAAATATTTTAACAACAACTAGTACTAATATTGCTACTGGAAATTCAAATGATCCATTCGAACATTCAACTAATGCAGGAATGAATATAAACAAAGGAAAAGATGAAATATCATTTGTAAGTCAAATATTCAATGTACCAGAGAATGAACCATTTGGTACATATGTTGGTACAATTTTAGCTAAAGATAATGATGAAGGCATGAATTCACAATTATTGTATAGTTTTATATCATTACCCAATGACAATATCACTAATGAAATGAATTCACAGAGTTTATTTGAAATTGATAAATTAACTGGTCGAATTACAACATGTATTCCATTAGATCGTGAAACACAATCAAGTTATGTGCTAAATGTTCAAGTCATGGATTCGGGGCTACCGTCATTATCATCAACAGCTAAAATACAAATCAATGTAGCTGATGTGAATGATGTGCCACCAGTATTTGAAACTACAGATCCTAGTGGTCGAATTATATTTGAATTAACTGAATCCGTCGGGAATCGTCGTGTACATGGTCGATTAGTTGGACGTCTTAAAGCATATGATAATGATTTAGGCTCAAATCAAACTATTCGTTATGCGCTGGTGAATGGATCACTTTCACCAATTCATTTACCAGTAACTTATCGTGTCACATTAGATGGTCATATTTATGCAGATGGAATTATGGATAGAGAAGTGTTCCGTGAGCATCAATTCACTGTAATAGCTTATGATGCTGGACCAATAAATCAACAACTGACTAGTAGTGCATTAGTTTTAATTAAATTACTTGATTTAAATGATAATCCACCTCAGTTTATCTATCCATCAACTTCTGTATCAAATAAAATTCCATCAGATTTAATTAATATGACATTGGATACATTACCAGGTACTATACTCTATTCTATACAAGTAACCGATTTAGATGAACCAAAACATACAAAATTTAATTTTACATTACATTCAGCACGTTTTCTATCGGATTATTTCTCATTGAAACCAAATGAAGTGCATATATCTGAAGCGAATAGTTATAGTGAAGCAAGTGCTGATTTAATTCTAGTCAATTCATTAACACAACTATTACCAACATATACTGCCGGTAGTAATAAGTATACAGCAATGAATGAATTTAATGTAAACATGAAATCAAACCAGGAACAAACTACTTCATCGATTTTATCTTCATCATCATCATCATCATTGATAACAACTAACAATAATTACAATAATCAACATTATCCAATAGAATATTTTTTGTATATAATTGTAAAAGATAATGATAAAGAGACAGGATTTACATCAACTGCACGTTTACGTATACATGTGTACACTGATCATACAATGACACTTTCTGCCGCATTACCATCGAATAGTATAATAACACGTAAACAAAAAGCATTCAATTCATCCGCTTATTCTGAATCAAGCATATTAACTAATTCTGAAATGTATAAAATGAATGCGGACAGTGTGTACAATGATGAACGATTCAATTCATATACAGCGGAATTATTCAAAGATAATACACAATTATTTCAAAATAAACTTACTACTCATAATAATAACAATCATAATAACAATAATAGTAATATGACTATTCTATTAATTGTATCTATTATTATTATTTGTATGTTTATTGGAGTATTTTGTTCTATAGTAATTTTTTATATTCGTGGAAATATTTCTCATTGTCAAGAAGTGAATCAGCCTAGATCATCAGAGTTATATACAACAACACAAACAACAAGTCCAGATAATTGGTCAGTCGGTGAATTAAGTGAACAATGTAAAGTTCCATCAAGTTGGGAAACAATAAATTGTAAAGGTGAGTTTCATTGATAGAAAATTATTTGAATTTTCATCAGGAATAATTATTACCTATAAATAAATCTTCATGTAGGAATCACGTTGGTATAATGAAGAGGGGCATAGTAGATTTAGTTATGATTTAGTTATTAAAATAGAACAAAAACTCGTAAAAGTAATACTCATCATGTATTTAGTATTCAATATTAATGTTTGAGTTCTTGAACAATGTGAGTGTTAGTACTTTTCTTTTCAGGGCACCAGTTCAAATATGTTTAGCTATTCTTTACTTTAATTTTGTCATAGTCCATGAAATCGACCAGGATTTCAAATTAAAGATAAATACCTTTTTTTTGATGAAATGTGTTCATGAGTGCTTGTTTCACAATTGTTAATCATGTTCATTTTAATTTTTAGTGGAAAATTCAAAAAAAAAAATAGTAAACACATGAAAATCATATCCTATCTACTGTTAGTTGTTCATAGTTCACTAATCTTAACACAACAATAAAAAGTAACTGTTCAAAAATCATTGATTTTCATTGTAATTCATTCGTGTTTGACAACTACAATGAATTAAATTGAAAGGTTTCGTTAAAAAAAATAAATTCCACTATGAATAAGTTAATTGTACTTTTCAAAATTATATAAAAAATATTGTCCACATTTTAATTATAGAAAGATAATAAGCTTCCTTTTTTAGTAGATAATTATCAATAGTTTTTGTTAACAGATGACAAATGATAATTGTTGTTTCATTATAGTGTTGATTTTTTTCTACTGGCAACCTAAGTGTTACTTCTAAATAATAATAATAATAATAATAATAATAATAATAATAATAATAATAATAATAATAATAATAATAATAATGGTGATTACAAATTCGAATCATAAATAAAAACAAATAATCTTTCTGACTATTCAATACTTTTAAATAATTTAAGGTCAAATGGTGGTATGAATCAATATTCAATTGATAGAGTATTTCTGTTTTTATTATTTAACAATATGTCATTTGTTATCAAAAGTATAATAGAGACTAGTGATGTATTATGCTCACCTCAAGACTTTGGTTCAGTTGGGAACAGAGTCATTGGGTACCAATTTTTGACGAGTTTTAAATGAGAACAAAATAGTTGTACAAGACTACTAGGATTTTTCTTGGTTCATTAGCTAAAGTCACTGTGTGCTGAAAAAAAAGTCATGATTCATTGTTTAGCTATAAAAGTGATTCTCTTTGTATTAAACACCAGTTTGTTGAAGGTAGGTAGGTTCGCAAATCTCTCACCATTTTCATTACTTTCTCTCAGTCCATGTCGTCCCATGAAGTCTCCATACCCAGTGTTGTCCATGTCAACCTTGAAATTTAGGTCTCCCATTAGAATCTTCAAATCCTTCGGTGAGCTGCAGCCTCTCGTAGAATTGATCTTTATAGTCGTCAATGTAGACATTGGTAGGTGGATAGCGTTGGATGACGTTCATTGTAATGTCCTGTTTCTTTGTTTTGAAGGATGCTTTAATGATCCTCGGTCCATGAGATTCCCATCCTATCAGTGCCTTTTGTGCTTGTTTGGACAGCATCAGTGCAACTCTTTGTATATGTGAAGCATTTTCCTCTTCATGGCCAAAGTATAACTGCGGTTCCCCTGAAGATAGTCTCAGTTGTCCTACCTGCGTCTAATGAGTTTCACTGATTCCAAGCAGCTCCATTTTCATTTCTGCAGCAATTTGTAATAGTCTTCCATTCTCCTACAATGTTCGAACATTCCACGTACCTAAAAGAATGGTTGCTCTGGTTGTCAGAAGAGGCATCGGCCTCGTGACTTCCGAGGGAACTTGGCTTTCATCACGAGGCGTCATAATTCTTCTGAAAGAAGACCTTCTAACTGCCAGGGCAGAGTTAAAATGGTTTGAATTTTGTTTTCTGGTTAGCATTTTTCAGCGAGTTAGTTTTTAGTTGAGATGGGGTCGCCGACACCATACCCAACCCTCCTCCTTTATCCAGGCTTATGCTCGGCGGTAGCCCTGAAGGTACTCCAGGCGAAGTTACTTAAATGAGACCCTTATTCTGTTTTCTGTTAAATCCATCATTTATGATCAGGACTTCACACATCTTACGTCAAAAATACTGTTTTTATTATCATTATAATTACTAAGATTAAATGTTCTGTACGCCGATCACAACTTCACATGTCATTTTAATGCTGGAAGTTTTCGCAAAGTAAAAAAAAACAATTATTAGCCACCTATACTAGTGAAGCAAACTCATATTTATGCGATTTAAATGTCAACGATCTAAATATTAAAAATTTCGCTACTCAACAAATCAGCTTTACTTAAAAATTTGAATCATTAAGTTCCAGATTGTGTAGTCTAATAATACAACAATCGGTTTAAGACCTACACTAAAACATCTCAACCCTACGTTGAAGAGTATTCAACTAGGAAAAAACATATTTCTATTACTTGCCAGATTTTATCGATTGCTTATTTGTTGTCAGATATTGATGAAAATACTTTTTACAACCACTTGATTTATAGAATTCACTTGGAACTACAGAGAAAACAACATGACATTGGGTACTACTAAGTGATGGATTTGTTTAAAAATGTTAATTTAAAAAACTTTAATAACTTTTCTCGAAACATTTCTATAACTATGACTTGAGTGAATCCATTATTAAACTCTACACGAGGTGTATACCTAACAGATCTGTTGAAATTTAAAGGTCTTGATGATAATACCATTGAAATGAGTCCTATTTAAACATTTTACAAAATAACCTTTAGTTTGAATGAAGTAACTAACTGCTTCTGAGATATTTTCCATTCCATTTTTTAAATCAATCTTTAAATGATTCGAATTGAATGTATCAGTGTGATTTAGAAAACTGATTCACTTTCAACCAAATATTTACCACATACTGTATCATACATGAAAACAATTTGAACATTTACATAATTAGTCAATGAAATATTTTAAACTCATGAAGTATAGTCAGTCTTTTTCTGCACATTATTATTGTTTTCGCAGAATTTCAATTCCTAATGGCAATATACAACTTTTGAAAATACCTTTTTTTCACTGATAAATTTCAATAGTGATGTGATATTTAGACATCCGGTTTGTTTAAAATTAATTTTTGAGTTTACATTGAATTAGATGACGGATTAGCAAACTCACAAGAGGATTGTACTAATGCATAGTGAGTGAATAAGTGCAAAAAGAAACTGTGAAAATTGTTACCAATGATTTCTTTTTTTAATGAGTGCTAGAGAATACGTTAATTAAAGGTTTTTGTAGAAATGAACGGAAATAAGTCTTTTTCAGAATTATATTTTAACTGTTTTACTGAAATTGTGAACCGATCAATGTTAGACAACCATTAGAGACCTGTAAAGTAGTAGATATCCGTTTCTTCCTTGTGTAGGACTTATCGGCAGTGCGTAATCACGACCTTCGCAGGTGACAAACGAATCCAGGTCTTTCAATCTCTCTCACTAGTGACTACTTTCGTGAGCAGATTCCCAGAGTTTTAGTGCAAGGTGTGAGGCAGTTACCCACCAAAGAAATTGGATGAGGCCGAGCAATACCGTGGACTGATTGAAGTTCAATATTAACACCATTAGCTGCCGGGTCAATGGTATAGATGTTAAATGTTTGCGTGCAATCTCATAGGTCATGCTTAGACTAATTAACCACTGAGTTAAAACAACATCCTTTGGTCTAATCCTTATTATCGAACAAATTCCAATTCCTAAATTGTAGTATGGCTACTATGCTAAGTGATCGCAGCATTGTAGTGAACCTTATAATATGATGTTTATCGTAGTCGTCAGAAAGGTTTTATCTTCATGGAAAGTCACACGACATTGTAAATTTAGCTTTGACTTATCGATATTCAACATACTGAGCATAGATTTTTTTTGTTAGGTCACATATTCATTGTTCTTATTGAATGTATAAAAAAAAACACTGAATAGGTCAATTGTATTCATCTAATGTTTATTTGCCAGTCTAATGTATGTTATCTTTATTTATAGATAAATTAATAGGAATTAACTGATAAGAATAAATACATTCACTGTTAATATGAAACAAAATGTTTTGTAGGTGTGGTGTTACTGTTTTAATAATAATAATAATAATAATAATAATAATAATAATAATTGTTATTATTATTATTATTGTAATTATTACTAATTGATGAGTCATTTAAAAATGTTTACCATTTATTGTTTGTTCTTGCCCAGATTTAACTAAATAAATTTTTATCAGGTCAATTAATATTCTTTTGTCATACTTTTATCAAAACATATTGAAGTTCTTTTTAAAAAATAATTATATATATATATATATATACAAGGTAGTTTTATTTGTTTATACAGTATAGTCAATTGAATTAGATTGAAAACAATTGATATGTTAATTTTTGTTCAGTTTAATTGTAAACAACACATTTGTGTTTCTTCTCTGTCCATTGTACTTAGATAATAAAAAAAATTAATAAATGTTTTTACAGTTAATTAGTCTTGGTCGAACACCTAGTTAGTTGACTTATTCACATTGCTAACTGAAAGCCATTCTGATAGAAAAGAGGATAACTTTAGACTGTTGATCTATTCGATAATGTTGGCGACCATTGTAATAACTATTCTCATTACTGTTGCTTTATTTAACATTTTTTATTTGATAATACTGAAGTATTATTATTATAGATAAATAATATTGCCGGAAATTTCCTTTCAACATTGATTTGACTTGTTTTTACTCATCATCATTTACAATCGTTTCTTGACTATTTTTTTTCACCTATGACATATTTTGTCACCTTAAAACATGTTCGATGGATGAATTCTAATGGAATCACCTTGTGGTGGTATTTGGTTCTCGGAAATGGATGTTTTGGTTGTGGAGCTTTCATTGTTCTTCTGAATGGCACCATCAGAACAAACTTCAGATGATGCTGGTGATGTTGTTCAGAAGAACAATGAAAGCTTCACAACCAAAACATC